GTTTCCTGGGGGTCTACCACATCGGGGTAGCCAGCTGCTTGCAGGAACATGCCCCCTTCCTCGTCGCCAACGCCAGGAAGGTCTACGGCGCCTCAGCCGGGGCGCTCACCGCCACCGCCCTCGTCAGCGGCGCCTGCCTCGGTAAGCGCGGGCCCTCGGCTCTCCCAGCCTTAGAGTCTTCCCTTCGTTATTATTCATTTTCTTAATTACAACAGTATCGGGGGAGGGGTGGTGGTGGAAATAGCGCTGTGCCTTCCTCCTCGTTTTTCCTAAATGTGTGCGGTGCTTTGTTTTTTTTAAGGTTTTTAGCTCATTATTCACACACGCCTCCCAGTGCTTCTCAGCAGTTTGTGTCAAGATGAGGTCCGGGGGGGGTCGGAGGCACCTCAGCCCCGTAGGGAGTGAAGTGCACGTCCAGGTGGACACCAGGCCCCCGCGGGATGGAGCGTGGATGCTGCTGTGCGCTGCAGAGGGGACCGGTGCTGCGCTCAGTAAGGCTCCTGATGGTAGGAAGTCAGCACGGGGGTCCTGGGTTTGACCACCACCACAGTACCGTGGAGTTGTGAGGACTCGGTTCTTGGGTTTGGCTTGCTTGACGGTAGATCTGGTGAGGCTGTTGGTGACGGGAGATGGCTTCTTGCCATGTGGGCACCGGCTCTTGGGCTGCGAACGGTGGGCAAAGGAGATGGAGACATCAAACACTGTGTTGTGCGTACAGATCAGAGTTGAACAGCATCCCCCAGTAAGTAGGGAATCTCTCCTTATGCTTTCTCAGCATCTTTCTTTATGGAAGAGGGTTATTACTGGGGGTTTAGGGCACTGGGGAATTTTCTTGCCTCTGCAAGAGCTAGATCTCCAGTCTAGCTGCAGTTACCTCTGTTTTCAAGCTACAGAAGAAACCTTAAAAAGTTACTCTGAGGCCGGTGCACATTGTAGTCTCTCCCTGTTCAGAGCATGTTTGGGTAACAGCTGGAGAGTGTGGTGCCTCTTTTTTTTTTCCTGTTCTGAAGTTCAGCTCTTTTGCATACGGGGGGGGGAAAAGTCAACAAATGTGCTACAGGTTTTACCTAGAAGCTTTTATTTTGAGAATAGCAAATGCAGAAAAGTATCTTAAACTTGAAAGGGGAATGTGGGGTGAGAGAATCAGGTTTATCTATTTAGCCTCAGAGAATTAGGAATCTCTCCTAGAGCCAAGTGAAACCAGAACCGTTTACTGCTTCAACTCCTCTCACCTTGATCACTGGTGTCTTTTCCATGGCACTCCCTGTTCTTTGGGGACGGGTACAGTTCTGCAATGTAGCCTTCATGCAGCAAAAGTTAGCTTTTTCTGTGTAGTTAACTTTGAAGTTTCACACTCCTTAGCATTTGGTTTACAGAAAAGCAAAAGTTAGCTTTTTCTGTGTAGTTAAGTTTACTCCTTAGCATTTGGTTTACAGAAATACCCAGTGAAGTGTAACTGTTGCTTCTGGAGCATGATAGGAAGCTCTTAGCAGCTGTTCCAACTCCAGTCTGGGATCGCAAAGGCTGTAGCCATGCCATGGTGCAAGCTTTTATCGTGGACAAGGGAAAAGGCCTCCTCTAATCCCTTCTCCTCGAGGGATCCATTTGCTGATAGCTGCCAGGGATTTGGTTGCTTTACTTGCTGTTGCTTCTGTGGAAGAGGTGGCTGCCCAGCTAGTTCCTGACCTGTGTGGTCCCTGTGCTCCTTGGCAGTGTGGCAGGTGTGTCTGGGAAGGTGAGACAGGCTGGCGGTACTGCCCTCATCCTTCGCCTTGCTCAGATGCCATTATAGTGCTGAGCAAGTCTGTTACCAGTCTACCTTGTTCTTGCTATTTATATGCCCAGGAACATCCATGATGCCCTAGGCATTGCCCTCGGGGAGTCCCCCAGCCTGGTGGAGAGCTCTCTGTGAATCAGGATTAGAATGTTTTCCCACTCTTTCGGAGGTACAAGGGCATGATAGAGGAGCAAGTTAGGGACTGCCTAGGCAGCATTTTCCCCCTTCCTGAAGAAAGAGGGCAAACCATGCTGTTTAAAGCCAGCTGAAGTGTGAATCTTGGGTGTTCAAATACCACCTTAACATTTGACTTCTCTGGGATAGTTTTCTTTTACCTCTGCCTGTGTGGCTAGCACGTATCTTGTGTAGAGAGCAGCTCTAAGGCAACAGAGCTGACTTCTGAAAGTAAAAGCAAATGGGGTTCTTGGTTGGGGCATGGTGTTGCTGCACTTTGTCCCTGTTGTAAACCCTCCTGACAGTGCAGATTCCAGGCTGAGGTCCAGGGGTTAGAATGAAATCATAGGGAAGAAGAGGACAGGGCAGAAGGTACAGCTGCAACCTGTACCTAGAAGAGCGGGTCAT